GGCCCTCTCAGCCTCTTCTCTCTTCTTGGCCTCAGCAGCCTTGCGTTCTTCCTCCGCTTCTTTTCTCTTGGCATCAGCCTCTGCACGGGCCTTCTCGGCCTCTTCTTTCTTCTTGGCCTCTGCAGCCTTGCGCTCCTCCTCTGCTGCCTTTCTTTTTTCTTCATCTTCCTTGCGTTTTTCTTCAGCCTCCTTTCTCTTAGCTTCAGCCTCGGCCTTTCGCTTTTCCTCGGCTTCCTTTCGCTTGGCCTCAGAGAAGGATTTGATATGATATGACAAATGACTGGAAGAGGATCAATATACAGTGCAGTATGCAGAATGTGTTTGTTTACCCATGAGGTGCAATTTATTTGTTTACGTAAGCGTTTCCGCTTTTGTGTTTTGCTTATTGCACACTTTATACATGTTGTGCTTTGTTTTGAAATTTGGGGCACGACGAGTGTCGAGGTTGTTTGTTAGTCCATGATAGTCCCAGCTTTATCTGTCACCAGCGAGGCTAAGCACATTGGATCTTGCTGCAAAACATTGACATCGTTTGGATTTGGGGTAGTATGGATCGCTTGGAAAACATATCAAACGCATAAGTAGACCGGTTTCGAAGTAAAATGCTGACGGTCGAGACCATCTTGAGCTGCGCCTCTGCCTCTGCCCGAACCTTCTCAGCCTCCTCACGTCGTCTCTCGGCCTCCTCCTTCCAACTCCCCCATTCAAGGTTGTTCGGTTGGAGGCCATTGCTATCAGGTTGGAGGCCATCGCACTTCGTTCCAAAACAAAAAAAATTTCCCCAGCAAGGCAGGTCTCAGTCCTTCCGACGCTGTTCCTCTTCTTTCCTCTTTGCAATGGCTTCCTGGCGGATCCTTTCCTGCTCCGCCTTCCTCTCTTCTTTTGTCTGTGCCGGTGTGACGCGATAAACCCCAACCAGTTTGCAGCTGCATGCACCTAGGCTACTTGCTCTATTCAAGTTCCAACTATTTACCATGATTTCCCATGATGGCCAAAACATGTATGGGGTTCTCAGCTATCTGGGATTTGGGGAGGCAAGTGGGCAGCAAGCCTGGACAACTTGGGCTTCCTCCGCCTGGTCAGGAAGGTCACGACAACAGAGGAAACAATAATGACGAACTGTTGGAGCCCTGGAATCCTCGGAACTCTGTGGTATCAGCTGTTGACTCAAAGAAAAACCATCAACTCCGACCGATACCTGAGGTATGGGGTCGCAGCAAGCATGATAAACATCAAGTTCACCAACCACTCAGCTGCAAATAGTCCAAACCTGGACCGGCTTCAGCGCTGGTGCAACCTCACAGGTCAGAGGTCAGAGCGGGAAGAACCCCAGAGAGTTCCAAAGATTCACACCAACAACCTTTAATATACACTGGAACTGGAACAGACTGGGAGCCTTCCAAGTTTCCAGAACGCAATGCCGGGGCCCGTGCTGGGCTCAGGAGCGCAACCAACACGAAGGCAGTGCCGCCAAGCACCTGCGGGGGCGTCCTCTACCAGAGGCAAAACCGATTTTCACAGCGCCATAGCATCTGCAGCATCCAACATTGACTGGTCCAGAAGCGCATGCTTTGTTGTTGGCGACCCAAACATTCAAACTACAGTACCATAGTCCCACACAGTCAATTTTTTTGTCGTCTACCGCCTGTCATCAAACAGGCGACGCTCAGCAGATCTCAGCAGTTCTGCTTCAGGCCCTGTTTTTTGTCACGTTGGTTCTGCTCCTCTCAGCTGCGACGGCAAAGCGTTAGAGCAAGGCAAGCCAAAAGCGCGAAAAAAACCTGTTTGAGTCACGGCGTGAAGGAATGTTTAGTTTGTGGATGGCAGGAATGCAGTCTATGTTGATTTGAGCGAGTATGTTGATTGAGGACGGGGGACTTTGAGATGATGATGAACGAAGGTCGAAGAAAGGTGGCAAGGTTACCAACAAGTAGAAATCAACACAGCGCAGTGCTTGTGTGATGTTGGGGTTCACAGTAACGCCTTTGCAGTCGTTTGACTCCCTGACAATGCGACTTCTTCCCACTTTGCCTTCGGTTTGGCGACTCGAAGCGGACAAGGTGGTTCTGCGCTGAAAGGCTGCATGCTCCTTACAGTGCTTGATTGCAAGGCCAAAATGGATGAATCATTAAAAAAGCAAACTTCACAAGGCTGTGCCGCTGTGCACGTTTTGCCGCACCAGGATCCACACACTTGGGCGGACCATCGTCTGAAAGTTGAACCCTCCAGCGAAGGAAGCTGGCGAACTTGCACCTGAAGCAAACTGTGGGAGTGTGATGTTTTTGCGAACTTGACATGAGCGCAAAGCACAAGGACCCGCCTCGCGCCGCATTTCCATTTGAAGCTACTACATTGCGCCTTCCTTGTCGGGCTCATGCCGGCAACGACAGCAGCCAGGATCATCCATACGACCTTTGCAGCACGCGTACCTCCTCACAAAGCTCCTGCGACGCGAAACTCGCACCTGGCTCTCAAACAGCTTCGATTCATCTTGATTTTAAGAACAAAAAATTGAGGTTCAATGGGAGCTTCACTCCTGAACACTTGTCGGCCACAATTCCTTGGATGTCTGTGGCATCGGCGTCCCTAAACCTTTGTTTATCCTTTTCCGTGTATTTCAGTGTAAATGCCAGTTCTGGTGTTCACTCTCGCCACACTCTGATGCTCGTGATGTTTCGTTCATTTTCATTTACATGTCACGCTCGTGTGTGTTTGTTTAGTTCGAACTTGCGTACACGCTAATTTGATTCCCTGTTTCCTACTTCTTGTCGCTTTCTGATGATGCGACTACAACCCACCAGCCTTCAGCCAAAGCCACTCTGCGCCACAATTCTTGCAGGTCCCCTTGTCGGAACGCTCTGAACGCTCAGGCCATGGGCAGCTAAATTTTCTCCTTTGTGGAGACCTCCAAGTCCTCCAGACGCAGCAAGAACTACGTGACGCATCACTTCGCAGCTTTTGGAGACCTCCATCCATGGGAAGCGATGATGACGGCAGGCAGTATCGGTGTTACCTCGATTTGCAAGTGGTACCAACTGGCCACTGGCATTCCATAACGAGCTGCAAAACAAGTTCAGAGTGAAGACAAGCAACAAGAACTGTCAAAGCGCACTTTGCAACGCGCGCAGGCATCTGGCCAATCCAAGAGCAAGTAATCGAACTCTGCCTAGAAAGCATGAAAGCATGCTTTGACCAAACGAGCAACAGTATCTGGCAGGATAGCGGCGCACATAGTTATACAAGCGCACATAATTATACAAAGGCGCCAACACAGGTCATACTGCATCTAAATTCCACTTGAGCCTTTTCAAACCCAAGTGGAACTTAGCGGCTCATAGTGATGAGTGCCTCCCTCTTCTTACAGTTTATTGTCTGACAAGCAAAGACCCTTGCCTAGCTACGTAACAAGCTTAAAGCTTTGCCTGAAGAGCCCCAGGGAAGTCTTTGCTAATCTCACCTCGGAGCAACGGCGAAACAGAGCCGACAAGCACGGAGAACCATTGAGATGTATGTTTGAGGCAGGCGGTCAGCCAAGCGCAACATGAAATTTAAAATTCGGCCTATCTTTCACCGTTTCAAAACATTTAAACGCCCACTGATGTGTACCACCGCCACCCACTTTCTGGAGGCAAGTAGCCGGTGCGCGCAAAACGCAGAACCCACTCAAAAAGATCAAGATCTCTGTCCAAGAATACCCGGCCCTCCTGGAGAAACGAACCCAGATACAATCAAAATATATCGACAATTATCGACATATGAGCCTGTCAATTAATTGTCAACAAATGAAGGCCCGCACGGGCCATCCTGGCCCACATATCAAAACGGGAATCCTCATCACGGTCAACTGGGATGGGTCCATCGAACCTGCAGAGTTTCTCTATGTAAGCAAAAGCAAAGCATATCAAGACTCTTGCAATTTATGCTGATAATGTGGAGACTGGAGGCCCCAAAAAAGCAACAGGCAGCTGAGAGACACCCGCACAAGTAGCTTGCCGCAGTGCCGCAGCAAGTCCTCTGAGGCTTGGAAGACACGCCCTCCAACATTGACGAGCGGCATGGCAAGATAGTAAAAGAGCATGTGGCGCCAAAATGACACGACGACATGACAATCAATTGGTCGGTCTGATTGATCTTTGAGCCATGGGATTGTTGGCCACAAAGGACCGTTCGAATGTCCAAATCCCTTCTGGTGCGTGTTCCAGGTGAACAAGGGCGGCACTTGAGGTCGCCGTCCCTGGAACCACCCAGGGTTACCCAGGAACAATCCTTAAGGCCTCATGGCTGACTCATGGCCCTGAAAGAGATAAAGAAGGTGTGAGGCAGTGTGAGGATCCTGGTGTGAATCGGTGTGAAGAAGAATGCATATTCTACACTGTTTTAGTTTGACTTCACCTTCGCACAAACTCTTTTTTCTGGGTTCGCATGGCTCACGCGATTGGTTCCAGCTAGCTCGTGTTCAGCATCGGGTTCACAATCATCACCTGCACTCATCACCAGGAGATCAAAATCTAACCATCACCGTGTTCAGGCTTTGCCACGCTTTGCATTGAAACCACTCTTACAAGGCTGCTGCGAGTCAGCAGCAAGGTGTTCTTTTCATCTTTCCTTTGCTGTTCCGGGTCTGTGCGCTATATATTCCAGTTCTGCTTTGGCGTGGCTTGAGCTTCAACAAGAAAGATAGAACAAGCTAGAAAATAGAAAAAATCAAACTGCATGTTCAAAACTTGAATCAAACAATAGTGAACATTACACGCTCAAATGCCAAAGCCATCCTAGTGAAGGGAATGTTGTATCGTTGCGCAACGTGCGACATAGCCCATGCATCTTTCCTTGCCTTTCAGTCTGGTATTGTCTTCTAGAAGTACTACGATTCACCATGACCATGATACGACACCGAGTTTAATGTGAAATTTATTACTAAAGACTGAAGCCCTCGCAAGACTGCGTGTCTCGGTCTGGCTGAAGTCCCAGGCGTAAAGAAAGACACAGTTGACCGTTGTTTCAATGCAAAATGCACTGTGCCACAAATGGAATGACACTCCAGGCCATCATGAGACTAAGGCTCATTAAAGCTGCACTACTAGGAGCGGGCTTACCCAAGAAAGGCTAGCGTTCCCATATCATCTATGAATTGGTTTTGTATACACTCTGGTCACACCAAATCCAATGAGAAACGCAAACAACAACAACAACAACAGCAACACCACATATGACACATTTGTTCCGTATAGTTGTTGTTCAAAGCTTTTGCTAACCCCATATCAGCCCTTCAACAATGAGAGCTGGGCATGTGAAGGCCTTGTAGTGGGAAAATGAACGCTACTCCTTTCGGAAGCGGGAATCATAGACTGAAAGATTCTACCGCTTCGATTATACCCGCGAGTGGATCTCTCACTGTCTCACTTTGCTGCTCCTAAGAAACCACTTGCTTTGCATTCTTGTTGACCTTTGGCCGCTTGTTGCCAGCTGCATCTCGCCCTTTGGCTGTAGCTGAAAGTGAACCGCCACCGGAAGAAGAAGATGAGCGAGCGCGCCATGCCAAGGCCACCAATGGCAAAGACATCTTTTGCGGTGGGAAGCTGATGATGTGGTGATGGCTGAGATTCATGCTGTCGCTTTGTTCCTTTCTTTGGCTTGACTTCCTTGAATGGCCTGAAGGTGGGCTAGCGGCTACAGGCTAGCTGAGCTGACATTGCTACGTGTTCTTCTATAGTGAGAAGCAAATTCACCGCCACACTCACTATAGCACAGCAAAGTAAGTATTGTGTGTTCAATGTCGCTCAATTGCTCAATGTTAACCACTGAGACTCCGACAAATGTTCCCGCACCAGCAAGGCAAAAAGTTTGGTTCCAAACTTCTTCAAAATGACAGGCGTATCCTCATGGTCGTTGAATTTGAGGTACATCTTGGCAAAGGTCAAAACGTGCCCATCAAACTCAACAGTTGTTTCCTCTGCTTGTTCATCCACCCCCAGCACCAATGTAGGAAAGTCAATGTCCGTAGGAGGGAACATCCAAGCCGGGCACGCAAGCTCCGAATCAAATCAGTCACAGTTATCTCCAAGGTCGTGTTTTGTTTCATTCCAACTCCCAATTGTGAGTGCGCCTGAGTGCGCTAAGAAAGAAAACAAATGTTGAATTTATGTCCATGGCAAGCAGCATCAATACGCGTAACAGTGTAACATCCAGTGGATGACTCAGAAGACCCAGGATTTCTGAGGCTGACACCTACTGATGATCGATCAGCTTGACACACTTTCATCTGGAGCAAGTAAATGGTCTTTGGGCGCTGCGAAAAAAGTGTCGGTTGAGCATTTTGGCGGTCGAGCACCCCTTTTCTCTTGACATACTTGACAAAAAAACAATCTAGGGGTCTAAGTCTAAGAGTCTAAGTCAAAGTCAAGGCTAATCAGTTCAAGTTAAAGTCAATTCAAGCCGGTAGCAAGCCGGTAACAAAACAAAACAACATCTCCAGCTCTCCAAACCAATCAAATGCCAAAGTACACACCTCACCCCAGAAAAATGCTTTGAAGCTCTTTCGCGTTGCAGGGCTCAGAACGTTGCTCAAAAGATGCTTCACTGGTTCGTCCGGCTCCATGTTGTCAAGAATGCTTTGCACCTCAGAGCAGAACCCTGTGTCCAGCTCCAAATAAACTTCAGTAGTGGCGGCAGTCTTGTCTCCCTCTCAGCGCGGCGCACGTTGAAGAAGACTTTGTTTGACACACCACTGTCACGTTCTACTTTCCTGCCAGCCCAAGGACTATAGTTTTCACTTAGCATACTGCGCTATACTATACATATGTTACATATGTTTTCTCTTCATTATATGTGTGTTCTTTCTTTCTTATCAGTTAGGAGTACTCTTAGTTACTTTTACCTCAGAAACCGTCCTGCAAGCTGCCATGTTGCGAGTAGTCAGAGCCATTCGGAGCAAATAGAGTGACTCGGACGTTTTCAAAGAAGATGCAACATTGGCCGTATCTGTGAAGTCCTGCTTTAGACCAAAGGAGCTCAACCCTTCCTGCGAAATGAGCGACGCCCCACTTGGAGTAACAACGGTTGAGATGTAGTAGGTGCAGGACCTGCAGCAGCTGGAGACTTGGAGCTTTGCGCATCTGGCTTTTTTGCAGAATCAATCACATCTTTGATATTGAAGGAACCGTTCTTGATCAAGGATTGCACAGCAGCAGCATATGTTCCAGCCACAATTCCAACATCAGCCCCGGAAGTTGCGCAAATCAGGTCAGCCTCATTAAAAAGATTCCTTGCACTTCGCAAACTTGTCCGCAAGATCAAGCTTGGCAAACTCCTCCCTGCCATTCAGAATCTTGATCAGATGTTGCATCATGTATTCAGCCCTCAATCTGGTCATCTTCAATACGGAGCCGATGTCAAGGAGCTTTTCTAGCTTCGTTGCTTGCGAATGCTGGCTCACTTCCTTTGGTAGGCCGCCTTTGCTTTGAGTCATGAACTCGCGCAATCGATGCGCCAATACGACTACAAGCACATTCGGCTTCCCACTGTAGATCACCGATGGCAGCTCATGTGACACGATGAACGTCAGCTGGAACACAAGGTCCGCTACATCAGTGTCGCGCGACTGGCGCACTGGGCTAGTTGCCATGTTCAGCCTGAACGCTGAACACTGAACACGTTGAGCTTTCAGTCAATCAAATCACCGTAAACAAAATGATTGAAAACCTAACGTCCAAACTAGATCTGAACTTGACAGAGCATACATTTAAGACTGCAAGACTCCAAGACTGCAAGACTGTATGTATGAACCGAACCAAAAACGGAAATGACAATACGTTCATCCATCATATTGAAACATCAGTCCTGCGTTCCCCACGGCTGCGCTGGTCCTCCCAAATCTCTGTGATTTTGTTGAAGGCCAAACGTCTTGCAGCAGCGTCAGCCAAGCTACAACTCATACCATCCGGTGTGGTTGGAGAAATTGGCTTTGCACATTTCATGGCACTTCCCTCCACTTCAACCCACTTCAAGAAGCAGTCAATGCATGTTTCCCAGGTTGCTTTCTCGTCAACATCCACGCTTCCCGCTGAACCTCCAACAGCAGGCATTGAAAACAAGGCGTCAGTGATAGTGTTTGCCAGCTGAGTATCTGTAGCAGATCCCGAACCTGAAGAAGTTCTCAAGCAGCTGCCATCCGCCAGAGCCTGACCAATCCAAACAAAGCAAGCTTCATTACGCAAACGATAGTGTGAGCAACAGTGTTCAGTATACAGTCTGCAGCGCTTTCCTCCCAAGAAAAAAGACTTTACAACTAAAGAATATGGGATCAGACTGAGCAGACTTTGCTTAATGGAATCTGAGTCTCAAAACAACTGCCCAACTTCCCAACTAAACAACACAAGGCTGAACATTGTAGCAACTCTTGCCTTCTGGTATTCCCCAATGAAGCTGGCTTGCAAAGCAGGTCACACGCTTGACCAACGTTTGTGGACTTTCTTCCCCACCATTTGTTTGCCCTGCAAAGCAAATGGGAGCCCAAGTCGCACATGGTACTTGAGCAAGGGAATCTCCATCTCCATATATGTCATGATGGATTCAGCATCACAAACCAAAGATGCAGCATCAACATGGTGTGGGACGCCAAGCCTCTTGCGAGCTGACAAGGTCGCAGAACGAAAGGCGAGGATAAGGCGGTCTGCAAAAGTCTTGTTGCGGGCCAGCGCTAAACCGTTGGTGTGGATGGTAAGCTCTTCTGCCTCCTTTGTCGTATCCTCTGCAATCCAGAAGGCTTAGGCTTGGTACTGCCTTTCTCTGATTTTCCCTTGCCCTTTCCTTTGCCCTTGGGCTTTGTTTTCCTTGATCTTTTTCTTCTGTTCCTTCTGCACGTTCTTTTTCTTTTGCATCTCGAACACTTTCCCATCCAATGGAGCAAGGGGAACTCCAATTTCTGCAGACGCTGAACTGGATTTCTTGAGAAGCCAAGGAATCTCTGGCATGTTCACTGGAACCTTAGCTAATTTTGTCTTGTTCTTGTCGTTCATTTTGTTTGTTATGTCTGCAGCTTTGAAAGTTGAGTTGTAG